GAATGCATTGCAAAGATAGGCTTTGGGTGCATTTCCTCGACTTTTGTGGTGCCGAATTGTTTCGCGCAGGGTATACCTGCTGAGGACCGCTGGGCAGGGATTACCGGCGGCTGGGCGGGGGAGGGGCGGGCGGCGCGCGGCGACCTGTCAGTCATACAATGGGACCAGCTCCGGGACCCCAATAGAGTGCAATTGTCTGCAATAAGACCAACTGTACGGGCCTAACAGCTACCAGAAATATTGGAGTTTGAATAAAATTAGGTCCGGCATCATATTACTGAGGTTGCGCCGTTTACAATGATATAAGGGTTCACAGCACTATCTTTAAAAGTAGAATTGAACTTCGGCATTTGAACTAATATTTGAACTCTCCTCGGGAGCGTATCACTCGGATCAGTAATTTTACCTTTGCATGTGATAGAAGAAAGATGCCCGGAGGTGCAATGCCCAATTTGATCAATATTAAAAAATAATAAAGTGTTCAAAGACTTGTTCAAAAAGTGCTTACTTTCCTCTTACATAAAAGGGGGGATTGTTTGGCGGTTTTTATATTGTGAACACCCTATGCACCCGCGCGGTTCCCTTCTCTTTCCACTGATACTTTTATTTTTTCTCTACGATGAAAATTGTAGAAATTAGAGTTCGAATAAGTAGATGTGGCAATTTGAATAGTCCTCATTTCCTCGCTCACTCGTCGGCTGGAGCCAGCCTTCGCTGCGCTGGCTTCTCTCGCAGGAGCTCTCCGGGCCCGTGCGGCAGCCGGCCATACCGGACCCCTCCGGGCCACTCCGCAACGCTGCCGAAAGGACAGCGGCTCGGCCACGGCATTGTTTGGCCTCAGCTGTCGTAAACCCATCACTTCGACACGTCCGTCGGCTATCCTCCTGACGTAGTACCGCACCCTGCCACCCGCGCCACCAGGCGGCCCCCGCCAGACTGACCGCGAGTTTTAAATGCGACAAAGTGACACCAAAAAAGGCTCTACGTATTCGAACTCTCGTTTGAACAGTTTTTGTCGCAGGACAAAAGTAACGATATCTGTGGATAGGGGAAAGACGCCCGCAGGTGCAATAGTATATGGGAGGAGACAAAAGTCTAACCATCTTTATTTTTTTGGAAAACGAAAAGTATGCACTTTTTGAACGGGGTTTTGAACACTTTATTCGTTTTGGACGTCGATGGGATTGGCCATTGCACCTCTGGGCATCCTTCCTCTATCACATGGAAACGTAAAATTACTGATCCGAGCGATACGCTCTCTTGGAGAGTTCGAGAAAAAGGCCGTGTTTTAACAATTTTAACGTTAAATATCTCAGCTTGTATTTGAGCCAGCGAGCCCAAATTTTATATTTAGAGTCAGGACGTGGTACCGAATGGCCACGTAAAATTTCATAAAAATCGGACAACTTTTATTTACGAAAGGTCCCCCCTTAAGGCGCGCAGTATTGCGCATATTGCGTCATGCCGCCATTCTGCAAGTTCGACAACCGCAGGTTTTGACCGAAGACGCTTCAGGCGACGCCTTAACTACCATTTTATTGTAATGTTTCTCCCGTGCGTAATCGAGCACCTTCCTGGAAATCCCCGCCTGCGCCCCCCTCCCCCTTCCTGTCCCCTAGCTCCATGCAGTCTCGCCGGCACGGCGCGGCCCCGCGGCCGGCCCGGGCGCGCGTTAGTCTTGGGTACGATGTCTGCCGATTCGGTCGCGCTGCTGGTGCTGGTCCTGGCCCCGCTGTGGACGACCGCGGCCCCGGCGGCCCCGACGGCCCCCGCGGCGGCACCCGTGCAGCTGCCGCCCTACCCGTGGTACTTGAGGAAGCTCATCCGCGCGGTAGAGGGGCCTGCCACGCCCGAAGCTACCAAGGGCGACTACCAGCTGATCACGAACCTGCCCACCGTGGAGGAAGTGCCGGCACCGCCCGACCACCTGCTGGCCAACCTCCTCCTGCCGCAGCCCGAGGTGTGCCCGGGCTGCGCGCCCGGCACGGTGCCGCAGCCGGCCGACGCGGGGCACGTCAACAGCCTCGTCAACAAGATCACGCTGCGAGGCACCCCGGGAGAGTCACCTGGGGCGGCGGCCGGCGGTCCTGGCCCCAGGGCGCTGCCGGGCCAGTTCCCGTGGCACGTCAGCCTGCTGTACAGGGGCCTATACTACTCGTGCAGCGGGGCGCTCGTGTCGGATGAGTGGGTGCTCACCGCCGCCAACTGCGCGCACGGGTACGTGAACAGCGTGAAAAATGTAAAGGTGCACCGCAAAAAAATATTCAGAAAAAACAGACTCTTGTCATAGTGCTAATTTTTGACTGCATAGGCCAGCAGTTATTTTGTATTTATTTTAAGCACTAGTGCAGTGTTACGTGCAGTCAGAAATATTTTCCCTGCAGTTGTTTTTATGGCTTTCATTTTTGATTTTTATTTTTTTGTGGTGCAATATTTCATATCAGTTTTACAGGGTGGCCCTTGGTCCCCTTTCTTAATTAATCGTCGTTATGATACACCGCACGCCAAGTTACGTACTCACTTAGGGCTTTGAATTGAAATGTGCTTTGTATGCAGGTACGACTCCATCGTGGTGAGGATGGGGTCCTACCGGCCCACCGCGGAGCAGGAGCGCTTCCGCCAGACGATGACGTGCACGCACATCGTCGTGCACCCGGGCTACCGGCGTGGCATCCACAAGGACGACATCGCGGCCATCAAACTGCCCGTCCGCGTGAAGCTGAACGGTATGCCCTCGTTACTCTGTTGTTTGTCCGTGTCGTTGGCGCAAGTATTGCCGCTCTTAAAATCGCGTCTGTCCTCTGCCCAGGCTTTTTGCTCCCCGTTCGGCTGCCGAGCCGCAACAGCTTCAGCACGACATACGCCAACAGGGACGCGTGGCTCAGCGGCTGGGGCGTCATGTCCGGCCGTACGTATGGTGTCCGCCTGCCTGTACTCCACTTCGCCTCACCGCGCAGTAAAAACTGACGTTTTATTTTCCTGCAACCACAGTTGGTACATTTCGCAACGCCACCGCCGTTCTGGGCTACGCGGCGGAGACGGTTCTCCCGAACGAGAAGTGCGCCGAGAAGTACAGCAACGTGACCACGTCGTCCATCCTATGCTCCACCACGACAGGCTTCGGCCCCGGCTGCATGGTGCGTACCGTCCATTGGTTTCCGTTGGGGCCAACTACATTTCAAGTATTCGAGCCACCCTCTGACTTTTGTCATTTTCGCTTTTGCAGGGGGACTCGGGTGCGCCGCTCGTGGTCAATGAGGGAGGCACTTTCGTTCATATCGGCATCCTATCGTTCTTGTCGGCGGCCGGCTGCACGCAGGGCCACCCCGCCGGCTACACGAGGGTCACGTCCTACCTCAGGTGGATCCAGAACGCCACTGGGATCGCACCCGGCCCTGACATCGACTACTAGGCCTACAGGCGGAGGCGTAGACTGATACTGTGTGTGAAGCGTGTGAGACTGTATGCATGACTGTGATATATTTATTTTGTTATCTAGCTCGGTGAAAATAAATAAATACAATGTGTTACAAAGTGTGTGCAATGACCTGATTTGGACGTAACTTGAGAACCTCTGAAGCAGAATACCCTTTAATAACGTTTATCTTCTCCTTCGTTAGCCACGACAAGCTCAGTAAAAATGAAAGTTCTCGGTCGCCGGGAGATGGGTTGAATTGTTGACGGCGTCCTTGTTTATTTACCAACACATAACCTCTCGGTGCACTGTGCCTCCACTGGCGTCGGCTCATGACAGTCCCTCTTCCTCGCACCTCTCGGTGGCTCGCTTAGTCCCTTCATTTTGGGAGTCCTGAAACACGCCGTGATGGCCCGGTAAGCCGCCATGTCTGACAACGAGGGAAATGCCTCTGCGGAGGAGCGGGAGGGAGAGCCCCCGCCCCCAGAGGAGCCTGTGGAGGAGCCCGTGGAGGAGCCCGTGGAGGAGCCCCCCGTCCCCGCAGAGGTGAGCTTAACTGCCGTCACCGTGGAGGAGGGGGCCCCAGCGGTGCCCGTCGCCCAGCCCCTTGACGCCTTGACTCACTCGTCCGCGGCCGACGCCTTGTCAGGAGCCGGAGGAAGAGGATGGGGAGGAACAGGAGGAGGATGCTCCCTCCCCGCCCCAGGATGGCAGTCGTCGTGCCAGCCAGGCGGGCGGCAGCGGTAGCCGCAGGAGCAGCGCCCTGGGGGCCGCGGCCGCGGGCAGCCAGCGGGGCAGCCAGCGGGGCAGCCAGGACGGCGGCCCGGTGGCCAGCCCCCGGCCCTCCGCCAGCTCCAGGCCCATGGTGACCGGCTCCGCACTGCTCATGTCGGCCGTCATGGAGGACAAGGAGCGGGAGCTGGCCCTGGCCAAGAAGAGCAAGAGGAGGGAGAAGCTCAAGAAGGAAATGAAGAAGTCCAAGCGCACCAACATGCCGCTCACGCAGGCCGAGATCACTCGCGTGAGGCAGGTCAGTCTGGAGGGAGACGAAGTGCCACTCAATGTATCTACCAGGCGCAAGTGATTTATCGCCTTTGATTAATTGCATTTTCTCTATGTAGGAAAAGGCGCGAGCGGCGCGTGCCGAGCGGGACAAAGCTCTCCGCGGCCAGCACTTCCAGATCATGGACGCGGTCGCGATGCACCTCAACATCGACGCGAGCGACGTCAAGGACGGGATCATCGACTCGCAGGCCAACATGGACCTGATCGAGAGCTTCCTGAGCGAGGGCGGGCGCCAGGCCGTGATCTTCAGCTACCAGGAGCTGCCGCCCGCACCCGAAGGTGCGCCCCGCCGCGGGGCGTCTCTCAGTCTGAATATATTCCCTCCCTCCCCGGTCTCTTCTAATCCCCCCCGTCGTCCCCTGGCAGAGAGCGGGCGCGTGCTGCCCGTGGACTACGTGATAGGATCGGGCGAGCTGCTCCCCAGGGTGCTCGTGACGGACGGGTCGGACGAGTGCGTGAGCGGCCACTGCGTCGCCATCTACCGGTCCAAGCTCACCGCCTTGGAGGAGAAAACCATGTTGGACGTAAGCGCCGAGGCGGGCGGTGGTGGTAAGGTGGAAGGGCGGGATGTGATGGGCCCTGCACTGCCTGCACTATGCCGCTCTCCGTGTTGCAGGACCTCTACTTTACGCCGTTCGAGGTGCAGCCCGGCTCCACGACCGCGACCGCGCTGTCCGAGCTGGTGACGAGGCTGAGCGCGCCGGCACTCAGCTCGTCCAACAACTGGGGGGACTTGCCCAACAAGGACCGGGAGCGGTTCCTCTACAACTTCAACAACTTCGCCCACTTCTTGTCAAGTACGTAGACGCCGGCGAGACAGCAAGCGGAAGAAGTGTGAAAAGACCAAACTTCCTCCCCCCCTTCCCCCGTCCCCTCACTCTCGTCTCTCCCCTCACCGCCCCTCCTACAGGTACGTCGACCGACCTGGACCTCGGGCTGCGCTTCGCCACCCCAGAGGAAGAAGTTCTCAGAGAGCTGTCTTCTCCGCTCAAGGTGAAGGAGGCCGCCGTCAAGAGGGACGTGGTCACCGTCATAGAGAAGCACGTCCGGGAGTGGTGCGACCAGATCCAAGAGGTGGGTGTCTGGCAAGCTTGCGTGGAAAGGCGGAGCACTAGATTCGGAAAGTTGAACCAGCCGCTCGGCTGTCCAGGTCCTTACGGTGCGACAACAAATTCGCCGAGAACGCGAGAACATCGGACCCCGCTCGGAACTGGTGTACTGGCGGCGCTGCCTCGCCAAGTACACGTCCATCATCGAACACCTCAAGAGCCCCGTGTGCCAAAACTGCATCGTGGTCCTGGTGTTGAGCAAAAGCAAGCTCTTGGCCGTAAGTTGCAAAGGACTATGAACATGCGTCAATGTCCGCCGCCGATGAGCGAGCTTTAGACCAACGGCGCTTGTACTTGCCCTCAGAGGTGGAAGCGGCTGGACAGCGAGATAACCGAGGCCGCCAACGAGGCAGCAGACACCGTCAAGTACATGTACGGCATACAGAGGCTGCTCGCCCCGCTGTACCAGCTGGACCCGCCCAGCCTCGCCGCGCAGATACCCAACCTCATGACCCTCATCCGGAACCTGTACTCCACGTCGAGGTTCTACAACACCACGGAGCGTCTGCAGGTCATGCTCGTGAAGGTGAGAGCGGCGCGCGCCGTGGCGGTAGGCAACCCAACTGGCGCGGCGGTCCTCGCGGGTAGACGCGGCCGCGGCCCGCGGCGCACTGGGACCAACCGAGACGATAAAGCCCCTTGGCAAAGTCAGAGGTCACGTCCCCCTGGCCACCGAGATAGACTAAGGTCACGTGCGACCCGTGCGACATATCCACGAGGTGCTCTATCCCTTCCAGGTGACGAACCAAATTCTCAACTCTTGTCGCGCCTACTTGACTTGCAACGACACCAAGACCATCTGGTGCCAGGCCAAGAGGGATGTGATCCACAAGATGCAGGTGAGGGGGCGGCTCGGACTGCAGGCGGCGGCCGGTCACCTTTCAGGTGTGTTTTCCCTGTGCTTGCCGCGCACTGATTCGCTTCTTCTCGCACACTCCTGCAGGTGTGCATCCGACTGCAGCGCGACTACGAGCGTCGTTTCGAGGAGACACGGGAACAGGTGGCGCGCTGCCCGCTCGAGGGCACGTTCGAGTGCTCGTCTATGTACATCTTCGGCAAGTTTAAGAAGTTCTGCGGCCGCCTGCTCAAGGTTCGCCTCGGTGTGCGCGCGCGCGTGCGCTTGTTGCGGGACAAGCTGCTCGTGCTCGACTTTCACCCCTCCCCCTGTTTCTCCTTGTAGATCGTCTACGTGCTGGAGACGACTCTACTCTTCTCCGTGCTGCAGTCCTCATGCATCGAAGGCATCGACGAGCACGCCGCCAAATTCATCAAGATGTTCCAGCGCATCTCCAACCAGTCCTTTGACCCACTTAACTACCGCAAGGAGGAGTTCGATGTCGAATTCGATGTTTTCAAGAGGTCGCAGGTGGAAGCGGAGGAGTCCCTGTACAAGTTTATGCGATGCAGTCTGCAGTGCTGTCCTGACATCCACTCTCAGCTAATGCTCATCAAACGGTTCGAATAATTTAAATTTACAACAAAAACAAAATTTATGCCACAATGATGAGAGCGATTGGCTTTCCGTTTCAGTTTTGAGAAACTCGGTCTGGACTGCCTAGAGGTCCAGATGGCTTACGAGGATGCGCTGGACAAGTTCATGGAAGAGATCGAGTCCATCCGGGACCGCTACAACGACAACAGGCAGAATCTACTCGTGACGCGGAACCTCACGCCCATCGCCGGCCGCATCCTCTGGTCGCGCCAGTTCTTCGAGCGGATCGCTGAGCCGATGAACATTTATCGCGTAAGCTGGGGCCACCCCTTATCAGTCAGGATGGCCGAGCGGTCTAAGGCGCTGCGTTCAGGTCGCAGTCCACTTCTGTGGGCGTGGGTTCGAATCCCACTTCTGACAGAATACTTTTTGTTTTCATTCCAGGTTGACACTTAAACGATGTTTAATGTATATTTTATAATTCCAGGAGACGTCTGCCATTCAGACTGAAAAGGCCCAAAAGGTCATCAAGCACTACAACGCGTTGGCCATGACGCTTGTGCACTACGAGATCGTGCACCACACGGCCTGGTGCAACAGCACGCAGCTCGTGCGAGCGCTCCTCGCCGAGTCCATCTTACGCAGGGACGACGATGGAACACTCTGCACCAACTACAACCCGTACATGCAAGAGGTCGTCCGGGAGACTGAGTGCTTCTGGAGGATGGGGCTGCAAGTGCCAGAGATCGCACAGGTAACAAGGGCCACAGAGCGGTGCCTCGCTTTGTCTGTGCGCTCAAAGAAAAGATGTAATTAGCTGTTTCTGTACTCTTAGGTGATGGCGTTTTGCAAGAAGCCCCTGATCGACCTGCTGGGCTCGGTGACGTCCCTAGTGCGGCGCTACGCGGAAGTGCGCTCGACCATCTCGCGCCTCTTCGCGCCGCTCATGCGCGCCCAGCTGCAGGACCTCGAGGCCACCATCCAGCCGGGCCTCACCACCGTCATGTGGACGTCCCTCTGCGCCAACGAGTTCATCAAGTCCGTCAACACCCAGCTGGACCACCTGGAGGCCTTCATCAAGGAGGTGTCTGACATGAAGACGGCGAGGGTAGACGCCGCCCTCGCATCATTGTCCGACACCGTGCTCGTCTGGCTCCCCGCTGAGCCTGTGGCGCCCAAACACTTCCTCGCCATGAACGTCGAGCACGTGCAGAAGATGTCCGCGGAGGTGGCGCTGAGGTCCGCGACGGCAGAGGGCGCCGTCAAGGAACTCATAAACCGCTTCGCCGACATGATCGGAGACCAGTTCGGCGACGAACGGTACAACTGGCTCGACTCCGACAAGGCCATGAGGACCGTGAGCTCGCAGACTAAGCTGGCGGATATGAGCCGGGAGGAAGGTGAGTGTGGTAGTCCCCGGCCCTCAGCGGCGTGCCTTCTGGCAAAACTGACATTCGCCCTCCAACAGCGCTCCGGGAGGTGGAGAAGGTCCAGCTTACCGACATCTCCCTGTTCTACAACGACTGCATGGACATGTTCTGCTACTTTAACGCCAAGAACATCGACGCGCTAGTCAAGTGCAACAAAAACTCCTTGGAGATGCTTCGAAGGCGGGACGGCATATCTATGTGAGTGTCCTGGCGGGGGGCGCCTCTGTGAGTGCTGTGGGGGTTCGCGCCGCTAGCAGCTCCGTCCGGTCTCGTCGCTCACCTCGTTGGCCCCTCAGGCGCTCCTTGCAGGCGGAGGGCGAGCAGATTGCGCCGCTGTTCGCCACGGACATGCTGCTCGTGATCCCGAGGATGACAATCACCCCGACCCTGGAGGAGGCCAACCTCATATACAACAGCGTGATCGCCAACGTCATGACCGTGAACAAGGCTGTGCGCGTCTGGGGTCAGGAGCATTCCGTCGACGTGGACGGATCCTCGCAGACGCAGAGTAAGCCCCGCCTGAAGTATCCCGAGCCTAGGGTGAGTGGCGACAAGTAACGCGAGGGGTGTCTTCGGCAGGCTCACTGACCGCCTCAGAGATCGAGACCAAGACTCTGTACAAAATCATCTCGGAACACCGGGAGGTGACGCGCACTTCCAACGTCATGGTCAACATCCTGTTGTTGCTCAAACCTGAAATCATCCGCATCTTGGACGTAAGTCCCCACGACCGTCGTAGATCTATGCTTTGTAAGGCCCAATAATTGTTCTCACGTGGACGTTCGCGTCGCAGGACCACAGCTCAGCACACGGCATCCCTCTGCCCGAGGTCACCCGCCAGGAGGGCACCATGGTAACACCACCTCCCTTTGCTCCTCACGCCCCGCGCCCCACACCACCCGATGTCACCCTTTTCCTCCCTCCTCGGCGTCCGCAGGGTCCGCACCGCATCATACCGCTGTGGGACGACGCTCGCCTGCCCATCACCCAGGCCTTTGTCGACGGGCAGCCTCTCCTGGCGGACATCCGAAGCCGCTTCGAGTGTATGAAGGAGGCCATGGAGGCCATCGAGGCGCTCCCTTCCAAATTCAACGTTGGCTGCTTCCAGATAAATTTCGGTAAGCACGCTGCTAGTCGTGGTCGTGGTGTGCGGGATCATGCAACCCTCGCCGCACCGCACAGGTCCCGCGCGCTCCGGACTGATGGTCGAGGCCCAGGCGTGGAAGGACATCCTGGGCCGCCTGCTCTGCCAGCACCACGGCATACGCCTCGAGGAAAACGTCAAGTTCATTGTGGACCACACCGCGCTGCTGCAGCGCCAGATCAAGGACCTGGACGACGTGCGGCTGGCCATGGCCGCTCTGCACGAGGTGGCGGAGAACTTCATCAGGCTGGACCTCAGCCTCATGGAGCTAGAGGACATGTACGCCCTGCTCACCAGCTACAAGGTGCTCATGGCTGCACTTACCGTGGGTCAGATGTGGATCCGTTGTTTATTTTCACAAATGTGTTTTCGCCACAGGTAGCCGTCAGTCGGGAGGACATTGATAGCGTCAACACGCTTCGCTACAATTTCAACAACATGGTGGCCGTGGTAAGGTCCTTTTTGTCCACCGCCGACTGCGTTTCTCCGTGACTGCTAACCAGCCCCAGTCGCGCCCCTCCAGGCCATGAAGACGCAGGTGGAGCTGTGTGCCGTCCAGGACCCCTTCCGCGACGAGCTGATCCGCCAGGTGGCGTCGTTCAAGCACGACGTAGAGAAATTCGACTATGATTACGAGTGGTCCGGCCCCATGGTGCCGGACTTACCTGCGAGGGAAGCGAGCGACCGGTCGGTATTAAATGTTTCATCTTGACTCTCGTGGTCCCGCCCGGAGTGGTTGCCGGACGTCACACCTGGCCTCCACAGCGTCCTCATCTTGCAGGGCCGCCTGGACGAACTGCTCGCGCGCTACGAGATCTACGCGAGTGGGGAGGAGCTGTTCGGCCTGACCGTCAACGAGTACCCCACCCTCATGCAAAAGAAGAGGGACTTCTCGCTGCTGCAGAAACTGTACCAGCTCTACAACCAGGTGCGCGCGCGGCCAACCGGTGGGGTGGGGGCGCAGGGCGCGGGAATCGGGGCGCAGCAGGGCGCAGCAAGGCGCATTGACGAGCGGAATTATTGACGCAGGTCATGTCGACCGTGGAGGGATACTACGACATCGTGTGGGCCGAGGTGAACATCGAATCCATCATGGAGGAGCTGGCAGAATTCCAAAACAGGTACTGCCACTCGTAAAACGTTTATGACCGAACTGGAGGACGCGGCACATCTCGCGGCTGGGCTACCTCCGAAGGGACCATGCAGCATGCAGGTCATCATGGTGGTGCTGTCGTAGGTGCCGCCGGCTGCCCAAGGGGCTCCGCGAGTGGCCAGCTTACCTGGACCTCAAGCAAATGATCGACGACTTCAACGGCACCTGCCCGCTGCTCGAGATGATGACCAACAAGGCCATGAAGGACCGTCACTGGAAGCGGCTGGAAGACCTCACCAACTGCAGCTTTGATGTGGAGAGCGAAACGTTCACCCTCAAGACTCTGCTGGAGGCGCCGCTGCTGCAGCACATCGATGACGTCACGGACATCTGCCAGGGCGCCGTCAAGGAGAAGGACATCGAGGCCAAGATGAACCAGGTGAAGGCCGACTGGGCCGTTGTGGACTTGGTCTTCGTCGAGTTCAAGAACCGCGGCGAGCTGCTGCTGCGTGGCACTGAGGCCGCCGAGATAATCGCCCAGCTCGAGGACAGCCTCATGGTCATGAGCTCCCTTCTGTCGAACCGGTATGTGTCTATCATGCTGCTATAGTTCCCCACCGCAATTACAGAACTTGTTTTCACTCAGCTACAACACGTACTTCAAGAAGGAGATTCAGAACCTGGTGTGGAAACTGAGCACCACGTCCGAGATCATGGAGCAGTGGATGGTGGTCCAGAACCTGTGGGTGTACCTGGAAGCGGTGTTCAGCGGTGGCGACATTGCCAAGGAGCTGCCCGCGGAGACCAAGAAGTTCAACGTGCGTCCGCCTGTCGTCTGTGGTGCCGTTTGTACCGCAGCATTCTAAATGTGCCCTCGTACGTGCCCCGCACAGGGCATAGACAAGTCGTGGGTCAAGATCATGTCCCGGGCCCGCGACGTGAAGAACGTGCTGGAAGTGTGCGTGGGTGACGAGAGCATGCAGCAGCTGCTACCCTTCCTCCTGGAGCAGCTCGAGTCCTGCCAGAAGTCCCTATCCAGGTCGGTACACTAAATAGCCCCTAGAACACGTGTAATTTATTGTGATAAATCTCTGAGGAATGTTGTCCATATTCTTTTTTCTCATTACTCGCAGGTACTTGGAGCAGAAGCGTCTTCAGTTCCCCCGCTTCTTCTTCGTGTCGGACCCTGCCCTCTTGGAGATCCTCGGGCAAGCCTCGGACAGCCACACTATCCAGGAACACCTGCTCAACGTGTTTGAGAACGTGGCCGAGGTGGCTTTCCACGAGAAAGAGTACGACAAGATACTGGCCATCAAGTCGAGGGAGGGAGAGAGCATCACGCTCGACACCCCCGTGGTGGCGACGGGCGGCGTCGAGGTGTGGCTGAACAAGCTCCTGGCCATGGTCCGCCAGTCCGTCAACACGGTCATCTGCAACGCCGTGGCCAACGCCCGCGAGCCCGAGTACGAAGACATCCCCTTCATCGAGTCCATCCCCGCGCAGGTTGGTGGGCGTTGGCCTCGGCGTTGGCACTCTGTCGCGCACGCTTGTCTGTCCCAAAGTCGACCATCCTCTCTGTCGCACAGGTGGCGCTGCTGCACATCCAGATGCTCTGGACGCAGCGGGCAGAGCGCGCGCTCAAGGAGGCCAGGCTGAACCGCCAGGCCATGCCGACCACCAACCAGCTCTTCCTGGACCTGCTGAACTTGCTCATCGACCAGACTACCCGCGACCTCTCGAAGTTCATGCGCGTCCTCTACGAGACGCTCATCACCATCCACGTCCATCAGAGGTGCGCCCGTGGCCGAAGGTTGTGTGCTGATGTGTGCTCGAGTACATTACTATAATGTCGTCGAACAGGGACATCTTCGACGAGCTGTGCCGCCTGCACATCAAGTCGCCCCTGGACTTCGAGTGGCTGAAACAGGCGCGCTTCTATTTCGACGAGGAAGGCGAGCACATCAACGTGTGCATCACGGACGTGACGTTCATCTACCAGAACGAGTACCTGGGCAACACGGACCGCCTCGTCATCACGCCGCTCACCGACCGCTGCTACATCACGCTGGCGCAGGCCATCGGCATGCACATGGGCGGCGCGCCCGCCGGCCCGGCCGGCACGGGCAAGACGGAGACCACCAAGGACATGGGCAAGGCGCTCGGCAAGTACGTGGTCGTGTTCAACTGCTCGGACCAGATGGACTTCCGCGGGCTGGGCCGCATCTTTAAGGGGCTGGCCCAGTCGGGGTCCTGGGGCTGCTTTGACGAGTTCAACCGCATCGACCTGCCCGTGCTCTCCGTGGCTGCCCAGCAGATCTACATCGTGCTCAGCGCGAGGAAGCAGCGCCAAACCCACTTCCTGTTCAGGTGACCCCTACGCTCTGGTGGATTTACTGCCTCGCACGAGGTTGGCTCTGACCACATCCGCTTTGTGCTTCCCTGCAGTGACGGGGACAATGTGTCACTTAACCCAGAGTTTGGCCTGTTCATAACCATGAACCCCGGGTACGCGGGTCGACAGGAACTCCCTGAGAATCTCAAGATTCAGTTCAGATCGGTTGCCATGATGGTCCCGGACAGACAGGTTTGGCGCCAAGATGAGGCAATGCGGGCGTTGGGTCTAAGGCAGTGAATTTTACATGAACGCAATGTCATGCTCTAGATCATCATTCGCGTCAAGCTGGCCTCCTGTGGTTTCCGTGAGAACGTCCTTCTCGCCAGGAAGTTCTTCACGTTGTACAAGCTGTGCGAGGACCAGCTGAGCAAGCAGGTCCACTATGACTTCGGCCTGCGGAACATCCTCTCGTGCTTGCGCACCCTGGGCGCCCAGAAGAGGGCCAACCCCCAGGACTCGGAGGAGACGACCGTCATGCGCGTGCTCAGGTGCGCCTGGCGCAGCGCAGAGACGCGCGGCGCGTCGAGTGACAATGTCTGACCAACTCTCTCCTCTCCAGAGACATGAACCTGTCCAAGCTAGTGGACGAGGACGAGCCGCTGTTCCTGACGCTCATCGAGGACCTGTTCCCGGGCATCAAACTGGCCACGCGGTCTTACCGAGATCTGCAGGTCGCCATCTCGAGCGCGGTGGAGCAGGTCGGGCTGGTGAACCACCCCAGCTGGAACCTCAAGCTGGTGCAGCTGTACGAGACCTCCCTGGTGCGCCACGGGCTCATGATCGTGGGCCCCACCGGCGCGGGCAAGACCCAGTGCATCCAGACGCTCATGAAGGCCATGACGGAGTGCGGGAACCCGCACAAGGAGATGCGCATGAACCCGAAGGTGGGCCGGGCCTCCTCGGCCTGTGTGCGGCTGAGCGTGTATCAAAACACCAGCCGAAGTTGTCACATTTTCGTTTTGACAGGCTATTACGGCGCCCCAGATGTTCGGCCGCTTAGACGTCGCTACTAACGACTGGACCGACGGTATTTTCTCTACATTGTGGAGGAAATCGTTGAAAGTAAGTCACCGGCCGCAGGAAATAGATACCGATTCGATTTTATCAAACTGGAAGAATTGCACGTTAGCCGTGTTTTACATTCTTAGGTCAAGAAAACCGAGACAACGTGGCTGGTGCTGGACGGTCCCGTGGACGCGGTGTGGATCGAGAACCTCAACTCTGTGCTGGACGACAACAAGACCCTCACCCTGGCCAACGGGGACCGCATCGTCATGGCCGTCAACTGCAAGCTGCTGTTCGAACCCGACAACCTGGACAACGCGTCGCCGGCCACGGTGTCCCGCATGGGCATGGTGTTCATGTCGTCGTCTTGCCTGCCGTGGAACCCCATCCTGGAGGGGTGGCTGCTGCGCCAGCACAAGGACGACGCGGCCGCGCTGCGGCCCTTGTTCGAGGCCCTTTACGACGAGACGCAGCGCTTCCTGCTGACGCGCCTGCACGCCAAGATGCACATCCTGGAGGCGCTGTACATCCGCCAGTGCACGGATGTGCTGGAGGGGCTCATGATCCGCCACAACGAGGCGCGTGAGTGCCTCATAGCCTGTGCAAGGCCCGGCTGAACAGGGGTGACGATGCACTGGCGGTTGCCTACACACCGGGTGTTTCATAAAAGAACACCCGGTACAAGGAGGTCCAAAGACACCTCCCTTTATTTTGCCTATATTGTACCACATGCAGGCGTGCGGGCGGGTTGCATAATCGCACGGAGCCATCAGGCGCCTTGGTGAGCGATGGTGGGCAAGCCAGTACGCACGCCTGCATGCGGTACAGTATAAGCAAATAATGGAAGGGGTGTTTGTAGCGCAAATTGCCTACCTTTCATGCGAGGCACACTAGAGGCGACAGGGACCCCTTTCGGTATGCAATATTGTAAATGGTCGATAGTCATCGATCGAGGCAAATTCGACTCGACATCAATTCGATTTTATCCAGCGAATACATGAAATTTCGAAATCGACGTCGATTTGAAACTCTATTTCTCACTGGAAGGCAGTCCACGACATCAAGGTGCCCTGTCACAGGGACCGCGCCCCCGCCCGGCAAGGAGATGGACCCGATCGACGCCAAGCACCTGGAGCGCATGCTGCTGTTCTCCATCATGTGGAGCCTGGGCGCCGCGCTTGAGCTGGACGACAGGGAGAAGCTGGAGGAGTTCGTGTGCAGCCACGAGTCCAAGCTCAACTGGCCCAAGCCAGAGGTGTGCCTCGTCTGGCTAAGTAGGGCTGTGAAGCCTGGCGTGCAAAGGGTACGACCGCTTGTTTCAAACTACTTTATTTTTGTTTCAGCCGGGCGAGTCCATCTTCGAGTACATGGTGTCCACGAGCGGGGAGTGGGAGCACTGGAGCGCCCACGTCGAGGAGTTCCTGTACCCAGACGATTCGGTGCCGGAGTACGCGTCCATCCTGGTCCCCAACGTGGACAACGTGCGGACCGCTTTCCTCATCGACAACTGCGCCCGGCACGGCAAATCTGTACTCCTCATCGGTCAGCCTCGGGTTCGAATACTGGCGTAAATGTGTTCTTTGTGTAAATTGTTAATAGTTGTGGGTTGAACTGCAGGCGAGCAGGGGACCGCAAAGACGGTCATGATCCAGGGATACGTATCCAAGTACGATCCCGAGGAGCATCTCTCCAGAGGGTTCAGCTTCTCCTTCGCCACCACGCCTAATATGGTCCAGCGCACCATCGAGAGCTACCTGGACAAGCGGGTCGGCACCACATACGGTCCGCCCAACGGCCGCAAGATGACCCTGTTTGTGGACGACATCAACATGCCCGTGGTCAACGAGTGGGGAGACCAAGTACGCGCTTGGCAGCAAAGCGGCCCCGTCGTGTAGGCTATCTCAGAGATTGACGTGAAGAAGTAAAATGGAAGAACAAAACGCGTACTGATCATGCGCAGACGCGGAGTGGGGGAAGCAGGGGATGGAGTGGGGGG